CACATTTTGAAAACAACATTTAATGACAAGGAAAAATGCTCATGATATGTTACATGGAAAAAGAATATATATTATGTATACATTTATGTTATGTATACAAATATATCATACGTGATTCTTTATGTATCTATATAGAGCTACATTTATACATATTTTGTAAACATCCTAATTTTGAACATAAACATACATCAAAATGCTAGATTATTATTTCTGGCAGGTGGGGTAATAAGCAGTTTTTACTTTCTTCTTTAGACTTTCGTATATTTCCCTATATGTAGGGGTTAATACCAGAATCACATCATATCAGGAGGCATAGAGTGTGTTTTTTTCATTGGTAGTGATGCTAAGTGTGGTCATCTGGTTAAAGAGGTATCCTCCAGCCACCGTAAAGGTACCTTTTCCCCTTTGTAATTGCTAAATAATCCTTAGGGTAAAACTGCTAAAAAGCACACAAATATCCTGTCCCCAACCATCTTTGGCTCTATGGAAATAGCATCCATTAATGATTATACAATGGTTGTTCCTTCTATGCTTATTAGCTGACACTCTTCTGCAAAGAGCTTCCCTCTCCCACATTTTTAATGTTACTATGGACTCATGGATTTATTATTATTACCTCAACGTATCATAATCCATTGCTCTTATTCTTCTTAAGGTTGGAATTGTCCCAAATGTGGCCAGTGGGTTGCCCTTCAAGCCATTTACGGGGTCTCCGTCACTCTCTGTGCACTTTCTTACTTTATGTAACAATTCTTGCCCCACTGTGGATCTGACCATGTCTACAGGAAGCCCTGGTTCCTTTTATGGATGGTGAGTGGCACACTGTTACCAGGTATCACTGCTTCTAGGCCCTTTCAGTGAACAGAGCCAGGAAACTGGGAAATGTGTGTGTGTGTGTGTGTGTGTGTGTGTGTGTGTGTGTGTGTGTCATGAGTTCACACTGATACCTCCAATTCAAATTCAATATCACATAATTCTTTGTCTTTTCCCTACTTCATATTTGTATCTCCCTACTCCCAGGTCATGATGGTTCCCAACATCAGTGTAATTACTGACTTGTTCTAGCCTACACCACAGCCCCAAGTTCCAGATCACTAACCACTCCAGTGCTAGTATTGAAATGGTGCATTAACACTATTTCAGTTAGTTTTCTATGCTCTTCAGGATGATCATCTATCAACCATTCATTCCCTTAAATAGTTATTGAATTCAGAATAGCAAATCCCTTTTACCTTCATTCAGCCCATAATTAAAAGTAGCTTAGATGTCAGCTGGGGCACCGCTGCCCTCAGAAGCCTAGGTGGAATCCCATGACTTCTGTGGAGGGCCAAAGCTGATATCCATGCCGGCTCCTGGCCGTTTCCTTCCTCAGGCCTGATCCCCTCACACTGCACCCTGACGGAGACCCACACCCCCTCAATATCCCCTCAAATGATCCATTCTTGTGGACATTTCATGAGCCAGGCAGACTTCGCTGACAGCTTTCCAGAAATGATGGTGGAAGGAACAATACTGAGTCAGGTCAATGACTATCAAAGCACAGTAGGCACGACCCACCTCACAAGAGCCCCCAGGGCCCTGGCCAGGGTGGCTCAGTTGGTTGGGCATCCTAGAGGTCAGTGGTTCGATTCAGGGTCAGGGCACTTGCCTGGACTGTGGCTCCCCCGGTAGGGGGCGTGCAGGAGGCAGCCATCGATGTTATACTCTCACATTGATGTTTTCCACTTCTCCCTTCCTCTCTCTCTCCAAATCAATAAACTATAAAAAAAAAAAAACATTAAAAAAGAGCCCCCAGGCACTGGCTCGCCAGGTTACTTGCTCTCCCTCCCACTCTCTCCCTTTCCTGCCTCCTCCCTCCTCTCTCCTTCAGGATCAAAGCACAGTCCCTCCTCCCTCTGTCAGGCAGACCAGCCTCCTCCTCTGAAGCCTGGCTCAAACACAGCGATAAAACAAAGACGGCCTTCTTCCTAAGAGAAATTACTGTGAATACAACTTCCTCCGCCTCATTACACACAAGAGGGTTGGAATCTTTGGAAAGCTTGGTCAGTTCAAAAATTGCAAACAACTAGCTGCAAACTCTCTCAAGACCAGTCTGTCTGTTCAGTCAGCGACTGCCCCCAGAACCGGGTCACCAGGTGGCTCACGCTGCCCCGGATCTGTCCACCTCGGGAAACTGGTTTCCAGGGCCACCTCCTCCTGTCCTCCACGACCCTCCCACCCTCACAGGCAAACTGGCCCGTCCTCCGGCTGGGCAGCCGCGCCCCACGCTCTGCTTCCCAGGACACCAGCCAAGGGCCCTGGGAGAGAAGCAGTGTTCTGGAGACAGGAGCCTGGTCAGTGAGCCCAGCAGAAGGGGGGGTGGGGGGGGCCCTCCTGGCAGCGCCACAGTTCGTGGGGAGGGGCTCAGGGAAGAGCCCCTTTGCCTCTCAGGGCTTCCGATTTCTCACTGTGGCCTTGCCAAGCCACCTGCCTCGACTAGAACCAGCGAGGCCTGAAGACCCCACTCACGGCTCTTCCAGGGTTTTTAGGGCCTAGATCTCCTGTGGGCAGAAACTTTCCAAAAGACCAGCAGGCAGTCGTGAAAACAGTCCCCAGCTGCTGGGGGCGGGTGTGGGAGGGGGGGCAGGGCGTGGAGGGGCGGGTGGAGGCAGTGCTAGGGGAAAAGTGAAGATCGTTCTGGGAAGTCGAACATAATCTTTGATGAGGGGAGGGAATATGTGAAATCGGAAAAATATCCTAAAACTACAGTGCAGTGGTTTTATTTTCTAGCTAGTAAATAATTGCTTTGACAGTGAGCTCGATTACTAATAAAGCATGAGATTTGTCTATTTAGTAATGGGATTTAGACCCAAATGGTTTAGTGATGTACAAGAATGCTGCAGCCTTTCAGAATGTGAGAGCTGAAGGTGAAAGGTGTGGTACAGGCGCAGAGTAGTAGAGTGAAGTGGTCTGGGAGCGAGGAGAGGTGGACTGGAGGTGGGTGAGCCCCCGGCACAGGCAGCATGTCACTCTGTAGCCGCCCACCCAGCCCCAGAGCCCCGGCCGGCTCGGCTCACGGTGACTGGAGAGCACTGAAATGCCTCCCAACCCTCTCAGTGCCCCTCTGCCACCTCTCAACACCCCTCAAAGACCACCGTTAGCACCTCCATCTTTTGAGCTAAGCACTGGCCTCTGCTGACTCCTCCATCAACGGGTAGCATTTATGTTGGGATTTATGTGGCAACTGTATCCAGTTTTGCACCATTCTGGAACTTTCTAGAAAGACGCATAATCTAGGCTAGGTAGAGTTTCTCTAGTTTGGTGCTCTTCCCAATTTTTGTGTGATCGCATAGACAACTCCTTAGGAGAGTGCAGATGGAGCCGAGAGCACAGCAGCCTTGTCCTTAGGAGGCAGTAGGCCCAGAGGCAGGTAGGACCAAACAATAATATACCTGAGCCCTCTGTCCTGCTGAGGTGCAGTGGAGACCACACCCGGTTAACGCCCCGTCTCACAGCCCTGGCTGCTCCCACGCACAGTGCGAGGTGTTCGAGGCCCAGGGGCCTGGCAGGCCTTGTGCTCCTTTCCGCCGCGGCCCTTCCCTCCCTGAGCTGATCAGCTCCGGAGCTGAAGCCAGGCAGTGCTCACAGAGATGTGCAGGGAAGCGCTGTCCACGCCGGAAGCCCACAAAGGGGCTCAGTGACTTGCTCAGGGGTGTGGCCAGCGCAGCAGCTCAGGCCTGCGGCCCGCCCGCCCGGTCATCTTGGGGAAAAGCTCCCCAAACTGTTGCCTGAACAGGAATGCAAACTGGCTAAGAGTAAGGGCTCCGAGACAAGCTTACCTGGTTCATGCCATGAGACTTACCTTCTGTCTATGTCCTCATCTGCAAAACGGAACGGAAATAGATCTACCTCATGGGTTGCTTTGCGTTAATCTGATGATCGGATGCGTGTAAAATGCTTACAACACTGCCTTGCTCACAGTAAGTGCTTAATAGATCTTTGCTATTTTGTGTGTGCGTGCATCCCTACACACATTTGTAAATACATATACAGAGGCTACAAAGACACGCTTCTTGGGACGGCTGAAGTAAACGGAATCTGTTCAAATTTGACAAGAGCAGGTGTTGGTGAGGATGGCGAGCAACTGGAACATGGTGGATGGGAATGTGAAACATGCAGCCACTCTGAACAGTCTGGCCGACTCCTACGAAGTGAGACATACACTTACCGCACTTCCCGTACGAGCCAGCGATCCCATTCTTAGTTATTTACTCACAGAAGTGAAAGCATACATCCACACAAAGGCTCACAGCGGTTTTATTTATAATAGCCCAGTTTGTTTTGTCAACAAGTGGATGGACAAACAAATGCTGGAACATCCTCTCAGTGAATACTACTCAGCAATGAGAAGGGAGGCAGTACTGATACCCGCAACATCACAGACGAAACTCAAAAGCATGATGTGAAGGAAAAGAAGCCAGGCACACACTGTTGTATTCCATTTATATGACATTCTGGAAACAGCCAGACAGTAGGGACAGAAAACAGGTAAGTGGTTGCCAGGGGCTGGGTAGGGAAGATGGACTACTAATGGGCATGAGGGGGCATTTTCGGGTCATAGAAATGCTCTGCATTGTTACTGTGTGGCTGGATTCATGACTGAATGTTTGTCAAAATTCATAGCATGGTTCACATGGAAAAGGTAAATTCTACCTTATCACCTAGAGGAGGGAACTGGGTAGGAAGGGTGTATAAAGGATCCTTTTTGGTTCTACTTAAACATTGGTACTGTTTGGACTTTTATATGAGCATGTAACTCATGTAGTTGGAAATAAGTTTATTAAAGTTTGAAATGATGGTGATGATGATGGTGAAGATCTATCTACCTGGAAGGGACATGGTGAGATCCAAATGAAATGAGACAATGTGTATGAGGGACACACACAGATGGCCCACGGATCTCCTAAAGTGACACGGTGCAAAGGCCAAGGGGCCTCCACAGAGTGACAGCCATGACTTACCTCAGTGACAAAGAGTGTGCGAGGGTCAATAATATCCAAGAAGTGCCTGAAGCGGCCATAGAAGGATGTCTGGAGAAGGGGGTGGGAGAGGAGAGGAGATCAGCTGCTGTAGACCATCCTCCAGCCACTGGGGAACCCCACCCCCCACCTCACCCCCACTGTTGGGCCCCACACTCCCCAGGACTCCCCGCATGGGAGATGAATACCAATGAGGCCTCACTGCTCAGTGACCTGAGAGCAGTTTCCCCAGTCGGAGGGCTGTCTAACATCAATTCAAAGACCATTAAGGCTCAGTGACTGTCCCAACTTCTCTTCAAGGTGCCTCCCATTTTCCTCCCTTTTCCCTCGGTGCCCTGAGATCCACTCCAAGCCTTTCGGCAGCTCCCGCCCCCCACCACTGAGCACAGGGGCTGGAGGTCAGACCTGGTCCCCGCCCTCTCCAGGCCTTCCCTGACCACCACAGCCTCCCAGCCTTGCCAGGACCTCTCCAGTGAGGGAAGGCCCCTCTCCCAGGTCAAGTTCCCCAGAGGCAGAGCTCCAGCACCTCAGCCCCCTGCGTGCGGCCCCCAGGCCTCCTTCACCCATGGCTCTGGAGCTGCTGTGAGGCCCAGGACCAGGGGCCAACTCCCTCCGGCCTTGCCCCAGGGAAAGGTCCATGGAAAAGAAGGGCTTTGTGCAAAGCAGGCCACGGGCATTCGAGCCCAATGAAAAGAAACCGAGCAACCCTGGTGCTGGGCCCTCTGCCCTAGGGACGGAGCCAGCTTGGCCAAGCCAAGCAAGGGAGGAGACAGGGTGCCAAGCTAGGGGACAAAGGGAGAAGCTGCAAATGCTGGGGGCTCATGCCTCGCTACACTCCCAGGCCCTGTCCCAGATGCTCCCGGAGCCCCACAGCTCTCCAAGCACCGTCCTCTGCTCTGCGCAGTGAGGGAACAGACGCCTCCACACTCCACCCCCTTGCTCACTAGGAAACCGACCCTGCAGCCACCGTCTGCTCCTTTCCCTTCCCTCTCAAGACCCTGTAGTAGGCCCCAGGGCACCTCAGTCCCCTGCACACACCAGGCCCCACGCTGCCTCCAGCTCTGCTCACCGTGGCACGCCACCCCGGAGCAGCCTCTCCACCTCCTGCCTTCCCCAGAGACCAAGCTTCGGGGCCATTCCTAACGGAAACATGGCTTCTCTAACTCTCACAACCCAAATGGCCTA